AACTATACAATCAAGCCTTTTATACTGTTAACGGTAGTTAAAGGTGCAAATGTTTATATAATGGTTTATATAATTACATATCTACATTATTTATTTATTTTAACAAGTTTATTTGTAAAATTATCTGTTCTTAAACTAAATACATTAAAAAAAAATTATAAAATTATCTATTTCTATTAATAATTTATAACGATTCCGCGTTAAGATTTGAAATTCTCAAAATTCAAATCTTGCTTGAATTTTGGGACACCCAATATATATTTCAAATAACTCAGATGACATAAAACAAATAAAAAACAATGGAACTTTATATCAAGTGTGACAGCTTTTGAGCCATATCTCCTTCCATTATCCCCGTCACATATAAGAATTTTGAACAGTAGTATTGATGGCAAATACTTTGTTCAAAAGATATTTGCAATCTCACAATCAATTCGATGACGATTATTAGATGACATATGACTGACTATCAAATTTTCAGGATAATAATGTGAAAACTACGTAATTAGTTAAATAATTCACATCTCTTACTTTAATTTAATAAGATATTTCAAAATTCAAAAACTCAATAGATGACAAATAAATTCGTTACAGTTTTTTTTACTACATCTTGGGGAAATATAAGACTGAAAAAATATTCATATAACGCCTTTCCATTAGTGCGACACGTCCACACTTTTAGAAAAATTTAATTATTGATATTTCTTCACATTTTTAGAAGAGCGTTACTCTTTTGCGATGAATATAAAGGGAACTTATATTTAACAATTTCTTATACTACAAATTCGTCAAGAAAATGCTTAGGAAACTGTTTTAGCTTTATTTGCAACACTTGTTTTATATTATATTATATTTTACATATTATATTTATACTACTCTCTTATGTTTATCGAAAAAAGTCTGATTTTCGAGTAAAACTTAAAAACGAATCCAAAAATATCATGATTGTTACCGTAAAGCAGTGGCGTATTATTTTATTTAGAAAACTATGCCACGCCTGTATCTCCGCCATGGAGCATCTAAATTTTAGAAAAAAGCCTGTTTTAGACAGTGTTTACATACATACATGTGCCCAGTTTCAAATTATTTCACTTACTAGTTTTTAAATTACATATTTAAAAAAATTTTAAACATTTTTTTTAAGTTTAACACCCTTTATTTTTTTAACGAATAGTCCTAGATAAAAACTTTATATAAAAGACCCTCCTTAAAATTCACCAAAGAATACGAGGTTTCATTTTTGGTCAACGTTTGTGAATCACCCTGTATAATGAAATTTGGAAATGCTGTAAAATATTTTTTTTTCAATAATTTTTGTTTTAGAGAATAACTCGTATAGGTATATAAAAGGACTGGTGTTATCAGAACGAAGAATTTGACCCATACATATATTAATAGATAAAACAGTGGTATCATATTTTGCGTTAATGTTAATCTAAAAAATATGCAAAAAGGGTATTTCAGCTCTCAGTACCCTGTTGTAATTAACATCAAATTTAAAAGAACTAAGAGAAAATAATAAAAATATAATAATATACTTATAGTATATTCGTTTATATAAACTTTTGTATTTCTGAGGCAGAAAGTGTCAACAATATTTTTATAAGTAGGTATTATTGTAAATCTGTATGAAAGTAATAAGAATATGCCTATTAAATCTATATGGTATACGATGTCTCTGGAGAACTAACCTAAACAATAATTTATTTAGAGAAGACCAGGGACGAAAATAACATCAATATTGTGAAAACTAACGAACTAATTCCAACGGGTTTTATCAAGTGTTCTGGAATCTGAAATTTTAGGGAAGGTAGCTTAAAAAGCTACAGCACTTGGACCCCTTGTACTTCCTCGCATTAGGAGATCAATCCACCTGAGCCGCTAACCAACCTAATACAGAGAAAAAGGTGGTGACTAAGGGGGTTCTCCCTAATATAAGCCATAGAAGGCCAACGTTCTCCCAACACGCGTCCTCTTGTTGACGAGACGGCAGTGCATTTGCATAGCATATGAAGTACTGTTTCGTCTTCCTGTTCACAACCCCTACAAAAAGGTGTTCCTCATGTTGTGAAGATGCTTCCTTAACCAACAATGTCCAGTTTGAATACCTGTCACTAGGCGAAGATTTTACCTAGACATGGCCAGGTATTTTTTGGCTTATCCTTACTAGGGTATTCTAAGAACTCCTTAGCAAATTGACAGCTATTTGTATTATCCCACCGTCTCATAAACTCTTTGTGGGTGTTTTCCTTAATAATTTCAATAAGTGCTGACAGCGGAAGCACACTGGAGGGGCCGGGTCCAAAAATATTGAGACCCGATGCATTCCTGGCTAGCTTGTCAGCTTCTTTGTTGCCATTGCACCGCTCGTGTCCCTTGACCCAGCATACAGACATACTGTTGGAAACTGAGGACCACGACCAGTGCCTGGTGGCATTCCCATACTGACCTAGTCATTGTCTTATGATTACGCAAGATCAATAATGCTATGTAGATTCTGATGGTTTTACGTGTAGTATACCTACGGGCGATTTCTTTAGCGACTATGGTTATACATGCTAATTCCGTTTGTAGCATGCCTATCCCACTGATATCGGATATGCAAGGATCTAGAATAAATTCCACATCCTGCACCTTCCTTCCTTTTTGATCCGTCTGTGAAGACGTTGATTACATCTTCTAGAGTCTGTCGAACTCGAACCTAGGAGAAGTGTCTGCCGACAACAGGGGCATCTTCCTGACGACCCCATTCCATAGGCGACTCCTGATTTCTCCACATCCTACATCCGGTTTGAAACCAACGTTCTTGAGGCGAAGCATGGTTGTCAAGGCCACTTCTCTTAGATATATATCCAGATGTGGCAGATACAGCATAACCTCAATTGTTATGGTGGCTGTTGTTCGCATAGCTCCAGTTATGCTCAGACAGGCAATTCTTTGTACATGACTGAACTTTTGTTTAGCTGTCGTCTGCTGGTCTTTCAGCCACCAGACCCGTAGGCTAACATTGGTCTCACAATGCCAGTGTATATCCACATTACCACTTTTGGTTTCTACCAACGGTTCTGCGGCGCTGCTCATAGGATATATACGTCTTTTTTAATCTTCTTTATCAAGTGCTGTTCGTTTATTGTTTTTCTGTCCATCTTAATAAGCACCTAGTTGTTTTCATTAATCTATACTATTTTGACTTTGAAAATGAATTTAAAAGATATAAAAGTATTTAGTCCAAAGCTAGCAAAAAAGGTGAAACAATTTAATTTAAAGTTAAAAGTAACAATGTTTTATATAAAATTATGTCACTTAATTCGTTATTTACAGATTCTTTACATAAAATATTTTGAGGAAGCCAAATGTGTAAAAAAAAAACAGCATGACTTTGAGCTAAAGGCTTTTTGTACAAAATAGTTACTTTCCTTGCCAGACTCCCTAAATTCTCTTTCGATTATACCAGTTATTTGATTTAATAGTGGAAAGGAATCAATCTTTACGTTATTTAGAGTATTTTTATATGTTATAATTGTCTCACTTCATGTTAATTCCATCTCCCAAAATTTATTTTCATTCTTGCCGGAACCGGTTAGCCAGTAGCACTATCACATTATTTGGCGAGTAAAACCAAATCGGTAGTGACTGCGGGCTACCCGGTTCCGGCAAGTGAGAAAAGAAAATTCAACGTTTAGAAAAAAATGTCAGTTCTTTATGATTTTCTCTAAAATTATACACAAAAAATACTTTATTGGAAGACTTTGGATTGCAGTGGATTTCTCTGATTTTTCTGATTTTTACAGTCTCTCCAGTAATATTTTTTCCAGTTTTGTTCCTTTACCATTGGGTTAAAAGTTACAAAATCTTCTTGAGACATTTCTTTTACTTTGTACTGTGGGGCAGTAACTTTGGCCATTTTTTTAGACTAATCCACTGATCAGAAGTGTATATAGCAGAGTGACGTATTTTTGCAACTTCAATCACAGTGATAAAGTATTTTGTATGTTAATAAGTTTTATATGATCTAAGTTGATATAGAGACGGTTGCAGAGCAACACGAAAACAAAAAAGTTGTTGAAAAATCAAATAAAAATGACATGCTTTTCTAAATTCTATTAATCTATTTGTTAGTTGTACAACATTCAGGAAATAAAGAAAATTATTCAAATCAGCACAAGAGTTTATACAGTCCCCTCTATCGAATAACATACAGCATGCATGCTGCGTGTGGCCAATTTCAAGAAATCGGTGTGTTATTTCCAAATTCAAAGTCATTGATGCATAAGCAAACATCGCAAAAACAAAACGATAACGGTTTTGACCACCGCAATTGTCGGAATAAAGATTAACCTTTCGTATGCCAGTTTCTTTAACACTTTTTAAAAAGATCTATAAACAACTTCCAATTTCATCCGGTTCTCTTTCGATATTTGCTCATGCCGTACATAGCGATAGCCTTGATTGCTGCCTAAATCATAAATTGTAAAGTTGTATGTTGCGATTTCACTTTTATAATAAAAATCGCTGACACCTTCTGCAAATTAAAGCATGCTGTTATTAGAGATTTATCATTTTTCGACAATTCTTTATCAACGTCTTTCAGATTTCGAACCGCGATTTTATTTAAATTATGATTATTATAATCATCATTTTTTCTGTTCTCTTCTCGGGATCTGTATTCTTATGGACAATACACACCGAATCTTTTTTTGGCTTAAAAAAGCTATATTAAATTTCGAATTATCTCGTTTTCCTCCCGGCCCACGGCTTATAGATAAAGCAGGTACCTATTAGTTTAAAGGGCTTGCGGTTTGGAATATATATTTATTTCTCTTTTTCTTTCCTGTAGGTATACTGTTTATAGGGGTATAGGGCAAAATAATAAAATTTGTGTTATTTTTTTGACCTGGAAAAATCCCGTTTCTACAAAAGGTTCAATTTTCATTTTTAAATTCTTTTTTTTTCTTTTCAATTTACGATGGCTATATCTCAAGAATTTACAAAAAAATTTCTTATACTTTTGGCGCCTCGTTAGTCGTTTGGGGGCCTAAAAATGAAATGTTTTTGGAATATCTAAAACATAGAGGTCACTAAGAATACTTGAAGTAATATCATATTATTTTTTGCAATGTTGTTTTTAGAATTCCTCACTTTATTTACTATAAAAAAAGTATACTTGTTGTTTGTCACTAAAATACATCGTTCTAAAGAAAAATGGATATCAGTTTTCTTTTGTTGCTGTTAGTTACAGACAGACGAGAATTTGGTGCATTTTGCTAAATTTGTAGCCATATTAACTATTTTTATAAATATAAAAAATATTAAAAGATCTACTAAATATGGCTTTATTATTTGTTAAATGTTGTTTAAATCAAAAAATGTTTTGCGTAGATTATTGCTCTGTTTTGAAATAAATTTTATGTCTGCTGTGCTATAGCAGCGCTGATTAAATGGTTGTATTTTTTCTAGGTTGGACAATTTCGAGACTGGTCCTTCAAAACAAAGTATGAAACTGTGGTCAAGACGTTTAAACAATAGCGTCGTGGCAACCAACCCAGAAATCGTCGATATACTCGTAGATAACTAGTTAGTAGGCATACATGCTCCAACGGACGACCTTGTACCTTTTTTAATTTTCCAATTGTTGTAAATTTAAGAAACTGTTCTAATTATGAACGTTATTTTGCATATTTTTATGAATGGTATTTAATTATTTACCAGTTAATAGTACAGAATGCCAGTGCCTGTCTTATGTCTCAAAGTAAGCAAGAAGACTGTAAAATTATACTTCACTAATTAAAAGTTTCAATGTTATCACCTCGAGAATTTCTAAATTGTAGAATAAACTAGGCCTTTGAGGTAACAAGAAGGTAGTTTAAATTGTTTTCTAAATATTCTCCCTATAAGCGACGAGGCTACATACCCTACAAGGTAATGTGATATCATACCTATCCATACTTCAGACTGAATGTCGGCTGCTGGTGGAAATCGTACTTTTCATCAGGATTTTCATCACTCTAGATATGCGTATTATGGATAATATTTAAATAAAATTTCATATAAACGTTACTTCATCAATAGACAATACAAGATTAGAGAAATTACAATTTCTCCTCAGCAACATTCTTCTGTAAAAAGTAATTATAGGAATGTCTTGAAGCAGAAGCTCTTGTACTTCTTGATTATGACACGACGTTAACTGTTGCTCTCGTAACATTCGCCACACCGCAGACTGTCTTACATTTCTAGTGGAAACTGTGGGGTTTCCTCAACAATACTTAAAAAGATTTCTTCATTGCCATTTATTTGAATATATGACGCTTGACCAGAATTGCTACGTCTGGATTTAAGCGATATTCCCGCAATCGACGTTCAATATTCGTAAGAGTTTGTTCACAGCAACCCGGGAATTGCCGTAAATTCGGCTAAAGCAAGCAAGATGTCTGTTCACTAAAAGTTAAATTTCGCCATTTTTTGAATGGATTAGCATTAAACTAAATCTGTTGATACTATACAAGGAAAAGTAAAATAATTTAATAAAAAAATATTAAAAAAATATATTGTTACTTTTTTATTTCAACTTTCGTATCTAATTGTAAGTAAATTAAGTTCAAACAATGTATTTTGACCTTTGACCCTTTAATTAATATTATTATAGTTGTTTCAAATAGTGTTTTACAATAAATCTTTTACTTAATTGGATATACTTTAAATTATTCTGCTTGTTGCCATTCTTATGATGTCAGTTATATTAACCAAAAGAAACTGATATTTCAAATATTGTCTTCATCGCTATAATTTGCAATGTTTGAAGAGCAGTAGTGTTGATATATTGTTACTGCGTCAAATTCAAAAGTTGTTAATGACAATATTCATTTGCTCAAAGCTATTTTAAAAATTATTCATTAATATGCTGTAAATACATAATGAAGTTCATTGATGCTGACGTCGTAATGGCGCATGGTAGCACATTTGATAAAAAAAAAATGTGTAATGAAGAGTAGGTAAGATTAAAGCATAATTTTATCATGCATGGGAGCTTGAACTGCTGAACTCTCACGGTGCCAATACCAGTGACAAACTTACATGGTTAAGTATAGTTGTATTTGAAAATTTATTTAAAATCAAGTCTACGAGATATTAAAAAATGTTTTTACTGTAGATAATGTGATTATTTGATTATTAAAAATAATGCCCGGAAATTATGCATAATGACTAGAAAACTTTGTTTCATTATCTTTGCAATTTAACTTCTATATTTATGAGAATATAATCACAATTAAAATAATTCTTACGTGCTTTTTTTAACCTGAAACTTTCAAATATCTCGAGAAATAATCACTCTCCTAAAAAAACATTCCTAATCAAAATTTCATTCCACGGAAGGAATATATTAGTGTTAAAATTAGTCTCCCTCCCCCCTCATTGTAGATGAGACTTTTCAATTTCTCCTACTGAACCTATGTATACTATTCTGCAATACGTTTGCAATACAAAAAAATACTATATGTAAATAATCAAACTCAAGAAGCTATTATTATCGTAACCCAAGAATGAGTGTCCTTTTCGGGGAACTTGGTCAACGCGATTTCCTTTGCTTATGACTTGTCGAAGTGCATGATTAAATCTGTTTTCAAATGAACGTGTTTTTTTGTATTTTGTTTTGAAGATCCCATTTATTTTTTTCAAGATAATTTTTATAAAATTGTTTTATTATGTTTACATTTAACGTTTGTTTTATTTCTTTATTTGTGTGTGGGGACACTAGTCTCCTCGTACGCCACATGTGTTTTTTTGTGGATGCAAAAACACAAAATATACGTAGAAAGAAAAAAATAACTTTAAGAAGCAAGCCATTTTAGTCAAGCACACTGAAGGAAACAGAAAACTCTTAGAAACAGACTATGTCCACGTCGCTGTTCCTAGTTACGCTAGAAGCAGTTCATTCACCAGCCATTTACATTTCTACAGGTAACAATTTTCCAGTTATTCGAAATTTGCAAAATGAATAACCTTTTCTGCGATAAATTTTGGGTTTGTATTTCTATAAAACGTGGCATTTTTATTGCAAATACGTTGCAGAATCGTATACCTACATAGGTTCTCAAAAATGGAGAAAAATTTAATTTCGTCGATTACAGCGACATCTAAAACATAGATAGATTTCGTACTTTTAGTAGAATTCGAATCTGTTGTAGGTAATAATTGGAGATAATGAATTAAACGCAGACATTTCGCTCTTCGTATTCGAGCAATCTTCTTTTGAAGCAACGGGTGTAGAATAAACTTTTTGCTTTATTACTCCCCAAACATAAAAATCTAATGAAATGAGATCGGGAGACCTCACTGGCCAATTCCACGGTCCTACGCGTCTCATCCATCTATCTTCAAACATTTCAGTCAGCTGTTGATCGATTTAATTGTGACAGTGAGGTGGAGCCCCGTCTAATTGATACCAACACTTCCTTAGTTGGTCTATAGGTATATCATCTAGAAAATCTGCCACATTCGTTTCCAAAATATTGAGATATCTGTCGGCATTTAAATTTTCTTCGTAGATATGGTAAGTTTGGTTATCTTTAATTAGACAAAAAACATTTACGCTAAATTTATTTTGAAAGTTTCTTTCCCGGATAACATGAGGATTTTCAGATGACCACAAATGAGTATTATGTATATTAAAAATACCTTCTCTCGTAAATTTTGACTCGTCTGTCCATATAATATGTTGCAAAAATTGTGGATCTTCTTGGTATCGCACTAACATCGTTTCACAAAATTGTACACGTTGCACGGCGTCACCCGGATGAAGAGCAGAAAGTAGCTTAAATTTGTATGGATGCATATCATTAGTTCTTAGCATCCTGTGAATGGACGCTCGTGAAATGCCTAAATCATACTCTGCGGCACGAGTTGAGGATTCTGGATGAACATTAAAATAGGCTAGCACATTTATTACATTATCTTCATTTGAAGTTATTGGTTTTGGTAAAATTCTTTCTGCACAAATTCGACCATACTCTAGTTGATTTGCTAAAATTCTTCTTAACTTTTTTCTGCTCATTGGTGGCAAATTTGGATATGTCTCATTAAAAACTGTACATGTTCTGCTTATAATCCCATTGCAACGTCCGTGAATGAATAATAAATTTAAAATATCAGCATTTGAATATGTATTGTTTTCCATTTCTTATAAACACTAAATTAAACTGTCACTGCAAGAGACTAACAACAAATTGACAGTTTAGTTGTTTGTTTTGAAGTTTTGCTAAAAATTCCACAGCTATCCTCGCAAGAAATTACATGATTTTAGGTGATTACACAAAAAATAGTAGATAACTTAAAAACTAGAAGAGATAGGTATAGGGAACCCTGATACCGTTCGAAAGAGAATAAAATTGTGTATCAGAATATAGAAAAACATACAGGGTGTTCCATTTAAAAAAACCGACTTATGAAGGTTTGAAGTTAACTAAACTCGGCATTAAATTTCTAGCACCCTGTATGCAATTAAGCCACTTTGAAAGTATGGATGGGAAGCTTAGGGGTCTAGCTATCCCCCCTATAAATATTGTTGCTTTATCTTTCTTACTATAAAATACACATGGTTTGAAGCTAGTCACTGTTTCTCTCCATTTTTTTGAAAAAAATTAAATATCTCGAAAACGGTTAATTTTAGGAATAGGGAAACTTGATAAAAGTCCACCTAAAATAACACGTAAAATCCAAAGGGTGTTCCATATAAAATAAGCAAGTTGATGGTGACTTCCGGTAAAACGGAAAGTGGTACGTTATTTTATTTGAGAAGGGCATGCTCGAAAACCCGGTATCCCAAATTTTCAAAATTCAAATCGAAGTAGTCTGAAATAATTCTAATGGGCCATCAGCATGAGACACCCTGTATATATATATATATATATATATATATATATATATGTATATAACTTAAAAAAATTATATATTCGATATATTTTATTATTTATTATTTCGGAATGAATTTCAGGTAATTGTTTCAATTTCATTTTAAATTCTTGGGGTGGTATTTGATTGGGTTAAATGAATTTTTAATTTATAAATAAAAAGACAGCTTAATTTCAATTATCAATTTTGAAAAAAAAACATTTATATTTGCTTTAGTTATACTGAAATTACTCCAAATAATTCGACAAATGTTTTTATTTATTATTTCAAACATACATTTTAAGCATTTTTTGTTACTTAATTCTGGTAACTGAAGAAATTGTGTACGCTATCAGTTTTAATTGTAATTGTATATATATTGTAAGGACTGCCACTCAAGTAATCTGTTGTTTGTTTTCTTGTTATTTCCATGGCCTACTAAATGAAAGTTGTTGCCCCTCGTTGAATTGAAAATTTAAATCTGAAAATCTTATAAAAAAGTGGGAATAAACCTCATCAACTCTAATCCCTATTATCTCGTATGTAGATATTTGAATGAATTATAACCATAACATTTAAAGTAACAGACATATTTTGCTAGGAAATACTATCGTGACCATTATTGTTTTCGGTACCTTAATAAATTATTAAGAAATAATTTCTATAAAGTAGTTAAAATATATAAAAGTTGGTGAACTTGATCTTAAAATATCCCATTATTAAAATCTCTCTGCCTTCACTGTAAAGTCACAACAAATTCACAAACAATGAAGATTAGATTTGAAGATTTCTTTTATTAACATTAAACTAATGAAACAGAATAATGCCTTTTGTGAATTTCTTTTCATCATCCTCTGTATAAAATTTCAAGAGATTACAAGAAATTAAAACAAATACCTAATTGGTATTCATAGGTATATTTGAATACAAATTTTTTCAGAGGTGACTAAAATAACCAAAGAAATAGTACTGGTAGATATAAAATTGATGAATAAAAAAACAATCTAAAAGGCAATGTATTTAAGGTTATAGAAATTATAAATAAGATGCCTAACATTATACCATAATGTTTATGTCCGATGATATCATATAATGTTATAATTAAATTTATATTTTGCAGAGGAGAAAATAATAATAAACGTTAGTAGGAGGTGTGCTCCGCTCGGAAACAGCTAAGAATAAGAGATAAACCTCCTTGGATCTTTTCAAACTAGATTATTCACAATAACTTTCCTTGCTATTAAATTATTTAATTTAAACGGTAGTGGGGGTTTCTGTAGTGGAGTTAAGGTCGAAGTATAACCTTGTTAGCGAGCACAACTGAGTTATGGTCTTATAATGCCTCGAATGAGAAAAAGAACCTCTGTTGAAGTTCGGCATTCGTCAGTCTTCTCGAAGCGGGCGGTGGAGATGTTATTCTGTCCGTTAAAAAAAATGTGATTTTTGTTTACTTGGTGAAAACTTACACCTCTGTGGAAGTGTATTGGATTTCGTGGAATAGAAAATTACGTCTGATAGAATTGATAAGTAACCGACGGGTAACACCTTCCAGCGGGTTTCAAATAAGTGAAAGAAAATATTAACGTAATTATTTTTTTCTGCTGTATAGTTTAACACAATGTTGCTGGATGTGTTAACCTACATTAAGTATTCTTTCTTAAAATATGTGTGACTTATGGTGTAAATATTAGGTATCTCTAGATATATTCTCGCGTGTCGATATGAAACCGATTCAGTGATACTTAAAAATATGTTTAAAAACAAAACTGAACTTACTTTGTAAATTCATCGACGTAGGGAACATAGCTGCTCTGTGCACATCTTGGACATGTGGTCTTCCTCCCATCACAGCACACTGCGAACTTGCAGAAGCGGGATGATGTACCCCCATGGGCCCCGAACTTGCAGGATTGTATGATCTGGCCATTGAAGCAGCAGCTGCAGTGTAACGATAAGCTGCTTGCGACATTTGACTACAAGACGTTAAGTCACCATAGGAACAAGGCATATTACTTAGTCCAGCCGGATCCATCGTAGTCCCTTGTAAACAGCTCGAGTCGAAACCAGTCTGGTTTAAGTACGAATAGTCCATTTCGGCAAGGCCAAATTAAATTATCAAAAAATTTGAACAAAATGTGCGCCGCTAACTTAAAGGTGTATTATACTTTATGTCTATTTTCATTTATCCCATCCAACCCTTTAAAGAAATAACTGATTTCAGGTTATAATTGAATCAAAGTTTGATATTAAATTATAGCGATTACGGTTAGAGCCACGGGTTTTTTAAGAACAACACAGAGAGTAGCGCGTGAGTCTCAACTGTATGACTGAAATCAAATGATAAGCTTAATTCAATAACGAACAACGTTAGGGGAGGATCGGAAAAACTAGCAGCGAGGAAAAGGGGATGAATTCCTGAAAATCAACTAGGGATGCTGTGAGAGTAGGCGTGCCTAACTCCATGACAACCCTTGCAGCCAATAGCAGTTTTCCCCGCTTTGACACTTAACAAGGGTTGGTGGACAAAAGTGACGTCATCTACTCTGAAAACACGCGACTAAGGCTGACTCCGTGACAGCCACTGGCACATATGAAGGGAATATTAAAATGCTATACTCAAATGAAATTTACATTCTAATCTTTTATGCTTTTCTTTTATGGCTTACGCATCAACACTCAACAGTTGTATATATTGAAGTAGAGAAAAGAAATGATTTTCTTTTGAAATCGTCCAATACTAATTATAGATTCATATAACTTATACAAAACGACCAATCAAATAAATTTATTTCTGTCTGACTTACATTAATTTTGAAGAACATAAAAAAGTTACTAAGTGAGTTTGTAAAACGATGTCTATCGAAGAATCGATTTGTTTATAATATAGGTGGATCTTTAGGAATAAGTTCAATTAATTTTTATATCAAAATCATATTTACAACAAGTGCATTCAATAAAAAGTAATTTTTCGCTATAATGTTAATTAAATAACAGGTAAATAACATAATATCCATAATGAAATTGTACAACGTGCTTAAACCAGTAAGGTAAATTTAAAGCAATCAGTGAATGTAGTTATTGTTTTCTCCACGACCATTAGCGAATGTAATAATTCCGAAATCACTTTTAATAATAGAATGTAAAAATTCCCACTTTTGAGTTAGAATATTTATTCTGAAACACTTACTTGCTTCTTATGTGTTTTGCATGTACCTATTTTCATTCTATAACAAGGACAGAATGAATATTCCGTAATCGAATTAAACGACTAGATTGCCATGGATTTCAAAACTGTCAATGTCAAGTGTAAATGACTGCGTCCTAATAATTATGTTCAGACAAGTTTTGATGTAAAAAAAATGTGAAAAATCGAGTGAATCAGATATAGAATTTGATAATACTCCGCCTGAAATTACAAATGTTGCAAATAATATAAGCGACAACCTAATGCCGCAAAAATCGAGACATGAATATAAAAAGTATTAGATATGCACTGTTAAGGGATTGGAAACAAGAAAACAGACTACTTTTCCGAAAATATTTTCATTGCATTTTTCGACAATTTATTAAAAAAATGGAAATCCTCGACTCGAATATATTCAATCCTAAAAGTAACTATAAAATGTGAAACACGATATTTCAATGTAAAAAAAAATTAAAAACTTTGTTAAAATGCTCTTCTGACAAGTACGGAGTTAAGAAATCGAAGATTTTTACAGAAGAAAATGTTAAACAATTCCTAGAAAATGCTCCGGATGAGATACACATATTAGCCCAGTCATTATAGACATGAAAGAGCTTGTTTCGGGGAAAAAATACTATTAGAAGTTTCTCTGAGGAATATTGTTCGGAAACCTGTTATAAATAAAATATCAAAAAATCAACTCGAGGCTAGTTGGGAAACTTTGTTTTAACAGTGGTCAAAGTTATGGAAAAGTGGTTTTTTGACTCACGTAAAAAAGCTATTATTCATAGCGAAAACAAGTTTATACAAAAAAAGGTAGGTATTAAATAAGCCTATAAAATGAAAAAGTCCGATTAAATTCCGATAATTTGTTNATCGACCTAGTAAAAATATTGAGAAATTCTTCATGACAATGTGCACTATGGGGTTGCCTATTATTTGGCGTATGTGACGTCACTACTAAAAATATAGCACTAGATGTAGTGCTGTAACTAAAAAGGACTAAGTATTGCAATTCCTAATACAAAAACTAAACAACCAAGAGAGTTTACAATCACGGGAGATTTTGATAATATTATAAAAAAATACTGTGTTTTGAAACCTTATAATGTTCCTTCTTATTATTTTTTTAATTAATTTCCAAAAAATAAATGTACACAACATATGCCTAAACAAATTGCCACATTTCTGAATCTAGGCAACCCAGAATAGTATACTGGCTACTATTTGCGCCGTAGGTACCTCATCGACTACATTGGTAAATGCAGGTGCGGATATTGCAACATTAAAAAGGCATGGATGTTGGAAGTCTTCTCAGGTAGCAGAAGGATACATAGAAAATTATCTGCAAAATGAACAAATGTAGCAAATCAATTACTAATTAATTTCTTCAATTACTGGATATAATTCGTTAGTAACTCTCCCCCTCAACATCCAATTCTTCCTGCCACACGACCGTTAAGTCTGCCTCTACAAATCAATCTCTTTTGAAAAATATACAGAAAATATTTCCAGTGCACCAGTTTTTAATTTCAGTAATTGTACCACTATAAATATAAATATTAATGCAGCGTAATACAAATGTCTCAATAAATAACTTATTTTGTTTAGATTTAATTTAATTGTTTTTGATTCATACTTTTTGGTCGTGGTAAAAATATAGTCTGTTACTCGGTTAGAATAAAAAAAAATCGATACTTGTGATTCCACTCGTATCGAAATTTTTCATTCTAACCTTGTTACAGAATATACTATTAAAAGTATCTAAAAGAATGAGTACACTTACACTTACACATCAAGAATAATTTTCAGTATATTTCTTTATTTTCTAATGTTATACACTTCTTATCATTAACTTTTGTAATTTTTATTTCAATACGACAGGCACGTACCTATCTGTGTTTTTTCAGTAATAAGTGCTCACAATTTGGATATATTAAGTATTATTTTCTTAGCTTTCAGCTTACCTAGACATTTCGTATCAAAAGGTAATGGTATCCTCCTTTTTTCGTTCAGAACTTTGGTAAAGCATGTATAAATCGTGAAGAAATAATGGAGGTCTTCCCTATAACATGTTGCTTTAAAACACTATATTTTCGTGACGAGCATCCAATTTTTAAAAAACAATTTTATTTCATTCTTGTTCACTAAACAAATAAATGTTTTTATTCAAACTTGGAACACAACAATATCATATTAAAGGGCTAATATTTTGACATAAAAGACAATTTTCGTCTAAAGGCAATGATGTAATTATGGTGTTTCATTTGCATTTGAATCTCTTAACGTTTTGATGTGCAAATAATATTTACAAAAATATCTATTCGCTACAGGTATTAAAATTTGAGTTTGATATTTCCCTATTTATTTCCTTTTTTGTGAAATACTGCCACAAATATTATAAGGAAAACAATTCCAAACTTGCAGAAAACAGAATTTCTAGTAATTCCGGTAAACTCTTCTGTAATAAAAAGTTGCATTCAATATTATCAGGAAATTGCCCAGAAGTAAATAGGCGAAATAATATAATGTAGCTGATTAAAAGCAGTCCGTCGCGTCGATTTAAGCAACAGCTTTTTCAACTGTTAATCATTAGAAGTTCAGTTGCTCCCTACTGCACAATGTTTACTGCCGAATCTATTTAAAGGATCGAGTTGGCAAAGCCACAATCGTGTTGTGTGTAATTATACATTATTTACTAATTTTAAGAGCAACAAGTTCTCTTCTACATACAATTTGGAATTTTCATTAATACCTAATTCTCTACTATAAATTAGAAATAACTGTCTGTATCTAATTATGTTATCATCAATGTAAAATCATCGTAAAAATTTTAAATCACTCTATTGCTAACATAACAGTGCTCGCAGATCGCAGATCGGTTCCAGTCGTTCACATTTTAGAGATATTTTGAAAATATTATGTTTATTTTTTTATTTTTACGAATTGTTGAAATCTGTAAAATACCACCACAACAACTTTCTGCGAATAATTTTACTGTGGACTCAATTCTTTTTTTCAATGTTGGGATTCCGAACCCACTGAATTATTTACCGTTTTCCTAAGCGTGTTCACAAGTTTTTGATTTCTCAAATTTATTTATTTTTAAGTAGATATAGATTTAGTAGTAAAATAATTAAAACAATTAAATAATAGTAGATAAACTAAGTGCATTCTGGCTCAATTTGCATAAATTAGGTATGAAAATGGATGTTCTAGTAGATTTCCTGGAAGAGGGTTTTTTGTTGGATTTTGGGGATGTTAGAAAAATAGGTTTGTGGTTTGAGTTAGCCGAAAAGGATGATCCCTAACTCGTCTTCATTATTTGGCCCACTCTGTATAGGGTCCAGGTGTGCCGACACGCCTTCGCCATTCCCAGCCGCGAGCGTATAATGACGTAGAAGTGCGTGTTGTGAATGGTATTCCTTTCACTTAGTCTGCGTTGTTCATTCTGGCTCATGTGTCTAAATTTGGGTTGAAAATGGATGCCCCGGCAGATGCGCGCGAGAGTGGTACTCTTGATTTCGAAGATGGTACCTAAAAGGATATTTGTGGGATTTGAGAATGTGGGGATATTATTATATATTATGGAGGCATTGTGCTATTTATTTTTAATTGTTGAAAAATGAATGAAAGACAAAGATGTGTTGCTGAGAAAACTTGGGAGGCCATTAGTTCCCACAAAATGTTAAGGTCCCTGTTAAAGATGCGACTACAAGATATTTATTACTTACCGAAAAATTATATTAAGACAATAAGCGTGTGTGATCTTGAGGATGGTTGGTATTTATTGCCCGATTATATACGACATGATCCATCTATAGCGAAGTACAGATCATGTAAAAAACATTATTTATCAAACGTGCATAATGACTGTGTTGATGGTCCACCAAAAAGAATAATTAGCT